TTTGCACAGTTTATACTCTACCTCAGAAATGAAAAAGGATTCTATAATTTGAAGAAAATATGAGAGAAAATATGTTTTGTATATTTTTATCTGAGAAACAAAGGAATCTCTTTCAGTCATAATTTTTGTCTTCAATCAAAATGAAATGTATGAAATTGTGAGTTTAGTGTATTTTAGTCATTTTCCTCCACTGTTTTCACCACAGATGAGGATGCTTTCACCATCCAGCATTCGAGCACAAAGCAGTGCCTGGGCATAAAGGATTCGGCAAACTTGAGTCTCACCACCTGTAATCCAAACAGCACGTCCCAGCTGTGGAAATGGGGTTCGAGTCACCGGCTCTTCCATGTGGCCACTTCCTTATGCATGGCGTTGGTCATCCCCAACAAGACGCTGACCCTGGTTGACTGTGGTTCCAACAACCCACTGTCGTGGCGTTGCCAGGATGGGACTGTTTACACTATTTACGAAATGGTCCTGGCAGTCAGCGACGGCAAAGTTGCCGCCAAACGGGAAGCTTCTGATACTTGGCTAAGAGGAGGATCCCAGGACAACATCTGCCAGAAGCCATACCACGGTTAGTGTGGTTTTCTTAGTCTTAGTCACTTAATGCTTGAGGAAATTAGCAGTCAGGAAATGAAAGTAGTATTCAGTTTGTGTTAAGTCTAACACATTTGTGTAACAAATTGTGTCAGAGAATCGACTTCCTTAAGTGAATGTGAATTTACTCCAACCTTTGATACTTTACACCCTTTCATATGTAGGTTCTACCTCCTCTGTCTCTTGTGTCACTTGACCAAACAGGTTCTCGTACATTTCAAACAGCGGCTGACTTGTGGGTAATCTTCATTCCTATCAGTTATTACTCTTTTATGATAGGTAACAACATGGTGTGCCAAATTCCAGGTTAAGGAACAGGACTTCCTCTTGAAACATACAAAACAAAATACTATGAGAGTATCTATCTTCAAAACTGCCGTTGAGTTTTTTGAACTGAACTTTTTTGGCGGATTGTTTGACTGTGCACATGCAGCCACGCAGTGGGTCTGCATGGCACATGGCAACATTAAGGCTGGCTTTCACTTTTGTTTTACAGAAATTGTTCCCTGCATGGCTCTGCTGTCCCACATACAACACCATGATAAAAATAAGTAGAAATGTTAAGAATTCACAATAAATGTATGTATATTACACTCAAAATTATCCTTAAGAATCAATGGAGAAAGTTGTTTAGGTGCTTAACCTGTACATTTTTCCACTAACTGTGGTAGTAAGCACTAACTTTGATACAATTTGGATTTATTATCGCTTTTAAGACATAAATTAGCATTAAGGGAACTAGCATTAAGGGAAAATGAAAGCTGATGTCTATATCTAAAAAATCCCCCACAGGGGATTTTTTTCCTAATAATTCCTCTTAAGGACAGAGGGTGTTGTACAGAGTATGAGGCAAATTGTAATTTGTGATTCTTGGCTATATAAATAAACTTTGAACATAAACGGAGAGGATATTTCAGCTATTTTAAATGCAAGATTTTCTGTCTAAATTAAATCTGCTACATGGTATTTGATTTCTCTTTTTGTCTCTTTCTGTCTTTGAAACAACAAACTCCCTGTCATAGCCTCTGTTATTAGATTTGTTTGCACAAGATTTCACTCATTTGTTACTTCTTTATTATACAATTCCCTCTTGTTCACAGTCATTGCTTTTTTTACCAACACACAGGATCTGATATAAGCATTGGGTGCAGTATGTAGAAACTTCAGTTCAGTGTTACATACAGTGTTTCCATTTCCATTTGCAAAAATGTAAGATTAAACTAACTAAAGGTCTTTGTGGTTTTGTCGTCCAGAAACAAATTTTCATTTTAGTGACATTATCTGCTAGGTGTGTTTGTGTATCTCGAGAAAAAGAAGTGGTTTGGTGTATGCAAACAAATCACTGTGCTGACAAGTTTTTAGTTGACAAAGATACCAGACGCTTGTAGGTCTTTGACTTTGCTCTTTTCTCGACCCTTCTCTCTGTGCAGTTGTCCACACCAACGGTGGGAACTCTGCCGGCGCTCCCTGCGAGTTCCCCTTCAAATACAACGGCAGCTGGTATCACGGATGCCTCCCAGATGCAGATTCCCCTGGACTGTCCTGGTGTGCCACCTCATCGGACTATGACCAAGAAGGAATAAAGGGATACTGTCTAACACCTGGCATGTTGTGTTTTTATGTTATCGATCGATTATGTAGATCGTTATTATATTAGAAGCTGATATGCCCTAAAACTATTTTCTATTTTTATCTGTAATGAATAATGTTACATCTGGCATTAGTAAAACCTAAATGACGCACGTAGATTCTCACACTGTCTCTTTGACTTCGCAGAGGAGGGTTGCCAGACTCTGTTTGCCGGGCCGGAAGGGGAGTCCTGCTACGAATTTGTTTCCAGTGCCGCCGTGACCTGGCAGGAAGCTTTGGATTCATGTCGTAGTCAAGGAGCTGATCTGCTGAGTGTGTCTGGGCCCGACGATCTCCACTCCAAAACCTGTAAGACTGATTTACTATTTATTACTGCTCCTTCAGCTGTTCTTGTTTCATTTCCACCTACAAGCTGACAAAAAGTCATCAACTTGACATGTTGGATTCAGCATCAACACAATTAAATGTTCTGATGTGAGAGGAATGCTTCCTAACACACACATTAATACCATTTATATTGATAAAAACTGCAATAATAAACAATGTCTAAACATATCAACTGGCCAGAGATGATATTCATACTGCCTAAGAACTACTAAGGACATACTTTTATTTTAAGGGCAGAAGCGAAACAGAAAGAGGAACTATTTTATTCATGCCCATGCACCACTCACGATTTAAGCACATGATTTAATGTTGTATCATTGTTGGTTTATTACTTGGTTGTTTCTAGTTATTGTTCTTTATGTGAAAAGAAAACAAGTGATGTAGAATGAGTAAGAATGAGTAAGAATCTATTTGTGTGAGGGGCGGCATGGCCTCATTATTACTTAGATCTCAGAATAACCCCACATAGGTTGTTCTCAAAATAATTAGTCTAAACACGGACTGTTGCGTGTCTCTTGGTAAAACTGGACATCTTCAAGTCTTGATGTTGAGACAGACCAGTTTTTTTCGACTTCTTCTTCCTGTTTTTGTTTTTTTGTTTTTGTCCATTATGTTGGTTTTCTAACTGTCATGTTTTGGACTATTTCGAAAATGGCAAGGCAGCATTATTTATATAGGACATCTCAAACACACATGCAATTAAGTGTGTAAAACCAGAATGCAATCAATTATTGTAGACTAAAATTACCATAAATACAACTGGAGTGCAGTAAGCACTAGACATTTTTAAAAAGTAAACTGTAAACAGTCTTGTTTGTGGATCATTAGCACTTTAAAAATGTGTTTGTTTATCTGATTATAACCTGTCATCTCTTGAGGATATCACATAGCTGGCACCCGTAATATCGCTTGTTCTTAAGTTGAATGCTGTTTTAGAGCACAGCTGGTGCATCTTTGTGTTTGTGACAAACCACATCACAAGTTGCGTTGCACTGCAGTGGATTGCACTGTTGGGGCTTTACTGTTCCTCCCACTCTTCTCCTCTCTCTCTTTCTTAGTCAGTTTATTGGGCATCCATGTGTTTGTGTTTTATTATGTTGTTCCCACACTTGATGATTCATACTATCTTAGACTTATCGTTTCCTTTTCCAAATGTATGCATTACTTGTGATCCCGTGTGCTGTGATGTTGCATTGTGCAGTTTTGGACGGCCTCGACAGAATGCCTGAGAGGATGTGGATCGGCCTGCACCAGTTAGACGTTTCTCAGGGCTGGCAGTGGTCAGATGGCTCCCCTTTTTCCGTCCTGCGCTGGGAAACAGGTGATGATAGTTGTATCTATGTTTTTTTCTTTTGTCTTTCCCCTGTGTTACTTTCTAATCGTTGCCCCATTTCTGAGAGTATCTGTATAAATGACATACAAACACATGTAGCGTCACAGTTCTAATACAAAAGACATGTACGTAGATTTACCAACTTATGCATAGCCTACCCATAACCACAGTGTAGCAGTTTCTGTTGCCTGAAACATGTTACCTCCTAGCACACCAAAACCTGCATCCTGTTGTGATCTGCTGTTGTCGCAGCCCTTCTATAAACTGAGACTTGGTGTCAGTCTGAGAAACAATGAGGCCAGTGTTGAAAAGAAGCTCATTGTGCCTGGTTTTTGGACACAGTGTAGCATTGGGATTGTTAGCGTTGCTGAATAACCCATTAATAGTACTGAATAGAAGGCTTTATAAAACCTTCTAGCTATTGTAATATTTTTCTTCAGTTTCTTTCTTACACTGCAGCGTGAACATTAAGGGTTACCGCATCCATCTGGCCTTCTACTGATATGAGCTCTTTGTGGTTATCATAATGTCAGTGTTGCTACTTACAGCACCATGTTGACCTGTTACTGCAACATAAAACATGTCTTTTATAGCACCTCTCTGTGTGAAACACGGATGATAAGCTAAAAACCTAGAAAGTTACCCACAGTTAAATGCCACTGTGCTCTGCTGTCACAGTCAGTATGTGATTTTATATTAATTTATTGTGTGTGGGAATGTGTTTGACAGGAATGCCATCCACCTCCATTATTACTGAGTCAGACTGTGGAGTTCTGAACTCCAAACACAACTATGAATCTGAGTTGTGTGGCAGTCGGCTGCCATACATCTGCAAGAAGAGTGTCAATGCCTCTCGCACCGCAGCAACAGGTGGGTCAGCTGCTGCATTCACTTTCTGCACTAACCCTAACCCTATTTCTTCTGAATCATAGAGTCAATAGCTATGTGAGGCTGCAAAATGCTAATGTCTAACGCTATGCTAACATTCTCACAATGACAATGCTAATATGCTGATGTGTAGCAGGTGTAATGTTAACCATGTTCACCATCTTAGTTTACCAGGTTAGCATTTGCTACTTAGTATAAACACAAATTGCAATTGAAGCCAATGGGAATGTTATTTATTTTGCAGGTGTCTGGTCATAAACCAAAATATGAGACCTCAAAATGTCTGTACTAAATTTCATGTCAATCCATCCAATAGTTGTTAAGACATTCCCCTCAAAGCCACAAATATCAACCTTAATAGCAGCACTGGGGGAAATGTGAGAGGATCACTTAAGTCATTAGAATTTATCCTCTGGGGAACATCTGTTGCAAATTTCATGCCGATCCATCCAATAGATGTTGAGATCTGCACCAGTTGTGGACCAACGAACAGACCATCATTGCCATCCTTAGATTGCATGGCTAAAAACAAGGCTACCAATCTAGAAGGTTGGCTGGCAGCTCATAGCTTCGTCAATACATCCACCATGACCAGGATATGTAGATAAAATTGACCTGACTTCTCCACATGGCCTCTCTTTGTCCTGCTCCCTCTCTACAGAGCCTTTTGTATATAAAGAAACAGTGTGTGCAGATGGTTGGGTCCCATGGAACGGCTGGTGTTACAAGTTAGTGAAGGACAAACCTCAAAGCTTTACAGAAGCCCAGCTCTACTGTAACAACACAGAGGGAGGAGGAGGCTTTCTGGCCAGCCTCCACTCCATCGACAGCAAAGAAATGATCAGCACTAACTTCCATGCAGGTAAATCTCTCACTTTCAGGTTTCTTAGATTATTTTACTTTGTAATTAGTCCTGAAGTAGATACTTTTCTTTGCATAATTGAAATATCTGCAAGTTTCATATTTGTTTTAAAGGTCTGTAAATGTCTGTCTTGATTTAAGGCAGAGTTAAACTGATCACCTAAGTTTGTGGATTTCATGAAACTAGTTGATTTACACTCTGCTGCCTTGTTTTTTCCACTTTCTAAACAAGTTGGAAAGGAGAAATAAATTCAAAATGTTTTCTCACCGGTCTTCTGCCTTGACTGTTTGAGTTTGATTTGAAACATTTCCATAAAATCATGATGTTCTCATGCGTGTAATGATCCATCAGATGGGAAGGTTTTGGATGTGTGGATCGGTCTGATCGGCGTGAACACCTCTGTCTTCAAGTGGATTGACCAGGCACCTGTCACCTTCACCTACTGGGACAAAAACCAACCAGTCCAGCCCACTCAGGATCCCAGCTGTGTCTTCTACTCTGGAGAGGTGTGTGTGTGTGTGT